TTTTTTTGGTTTTTCTCCAGTACCGGGAACTGAACTCACGACCTTGCGCTTGCCAGGCAGGCGCTTTTGCCGCTGAGCTAAATCCCCAGCCCCAGTCTTCCATTCTTACATCTGGTAATCTGAGCAATGTAGTTGAAGATAAGAATATGTAATATAACAGCTACTGTTAATTCCTGTCACTTTGTTTTGAAACCCTGTATCACTTCTAATGTTCTTGCTTTGTTTTGTTTATGTCTGTGATGTTAGTATGTTGCTATTGTTCTTTTTTTTTTACTACTCTCTTTAAAATAAAAAAGAAAATAAAAGCTAACTTATCTTTACAACTGCATTTTCTGAGTAACACTGAGTACATTTCACTGATAATTTTTTTTTTTTTTTTCAGTACTGGGGATCAAACTCACAACCTTGTGCTTGCCAGGCAGGCGCTTATGCCACTGAGCTATATCCCCAGCCCCTTCATTGATAATTATTATATATCAAATTATATACAAACTGGAAAGTTATAGAAGTAAATAACAACAGTAATGCAATCAATTTCTTTAAAAAAATTCAGAATTATTATTTTTCTAGCAAAAGTAAAAAAATTGAAAATAATTTCATGAATATTAACTTTTAATTTTCATTTGATATAAGAAAACAGCTTCAACTTAACTATTTGATATTTACTCAGCTATTATCAACTCTTCAGCACTTGACATATTTAATGGTGACAGAATACATTTTGGAGAATTAAGCAATAATGCATAGGCCATTTTTCATTCTCACAGCTCTCATCACACTCGAAAGCACAGAAGATTAAACACAGGTAGTATTCTCAAGGCAGACAGAGGTAGCCAGTAAGCACATTTAGCTGCCTCTCATGATAAAGCTTTGAGGTTGAATAATCAGTTGAGAGAAAATCCTTCAGTTGCCGCCATCTCTTTGTCATAGTTTTGATAGTGATCTTGCATATATTTTGCATATCTTCCATGTCAACGCAAAGGCCATTCATATGACACCCAAGAAAGCCTAACAAGAGAAATTACGTACTGAAAAGTAAGATTTTGCTGTGTAGGAATAAGATAGCAAGGCCACAAACCATTGTAATAGCTAAGATTTTTTTCACGCTACTTCCCCAAGAATCAATAACAAGCTCAGAAAATTCATTCTAGCAGGTTTAAGAACATTCTTCCCTTTCTAGCTGAACTTTGTCTTCCAATAAAATTCACTTATTTGGTTGTAATTCCCCATACCAAAACAAACATTTAATCTCTTTCCTATGATGGGCCTTCAAAGCTTGTCCTTTCCTAAGCTGTATCTACCCATGGGTTCTTTACCTGGCATTAGATATGACTCAGTTCCCCCACTGCATTAGGAGTCCTTGAGGTACAGGAACTGTCTATTTCACCAGGTTGTTCCCTTTCTTGCTTCCAACCTGCTATTAAGATGAGGTGTGCATATATGAATACAATAATCTGACACAGAGTAGAGGCAGGCCATCTCTCCTAGCATGCATCTAATGACAATCTGAGGTTACGTGAGGGCCTGGGGACATAGCAGGATGACTTTTGGAAGCCTACTGAGTAGTGAACTCAAGTCCCTGTGCCTTTCTTCACATAACCTGTTCAGACATTGAATTCCTTCTCCACCAACTTCCTGCTTTCCGACACCTAAGTGTGATCTATATTCCACCATGTTAAGATATTTGATGATCCTGATTCTATTACCCAATGTATGTACTCATTTATCATATTTGCTTTTCTAAACATAGATTTGGAAAAGGACAGAAATGAAAAAGTCGACTTGAATAAAAAGAAGCAAAATATCCAGCTCCTAGAGTTAATATATGTGCTGAGATTTTGCACATGAAGTTTAGTAAATATTGAAGCTCTCCTCTAAAAGCAGGGATTCTGTTTTCCTTCTTGCACCTCCCAGAGAGGGAGAATAGCTCTAAACAAGGCCCCCTCAAGAGTTACACAACATTTTCAAAATAAAACACACATGTAACCTGAGATTTAATTGCTTAATATGTATCAGTGCACATTGTAAATTCTTAATGTTACTGGAATAACGGAATGCTATAAAAATCAAAGAATGGTCTTTGGCAAACCCCTGATACTTGAAATACTGATCATTTTGGCCACATCTAACAATGTGACATCAAACACTGAGTCACTCCGCAGCACAGTTTGAGGGAGACTCTGCTACTGATCTCTTTGTAATGAAGGCAAAAGGGTATTTTTGACTTGAATTATCTGCACCTTCAGCCCAAACTTTTACTCACTGAGAATAGACCTAGCTTGTGAGAGTTAATTCATACCATTTGGAGGCTGAAGCAGTTATAAAGCTGCTTTGGAATGTCCTAAGTTATGCTAAGAGACCCGTTTTTGACAGATGTGTTCCTGTAGTCCGTCAATTGGCATATGGAATTTTTATATACAAGCTGGTGCCGAAGTTTCAACATGTAACATTTATTAGTGCTCCTACTGGCACAGAGAGACAGATGGTGCACACATTACAGGCAGGAGCAAGCTTTGCAATTGGCCTCACAGGTCTGACTGCTCAGTCACCTAGATTGCTGAATTGCAATCCACTCCAGCCCACACACAGGCCTGAGAGGCCAAATGCCAAACCCTCCCATCTCTCCTGCCCCAGGGTCCACTATGGAAACCGCCTTTCCTTCCCTGTTTCTGGACTTCAGATTTCCCTCCTTTTTGTCATTTTTTTGGGCCCAGATTGCACTTTCTTGGGCTTTTCACTTCTTCCACCTGGGCCAGTGTGAGTTCTAGAGACTAAGGCTGGGGAGAACATGACTCTGACAGCTGTGCTCAGCCACCATCACACCTAATGTGAGTCATGGAAGCTCCCACCTGTTTCCCCATTTCACCCAAACTGAGCCTCTCAAGTCTCAGCACCAGGATTAAAATGCTCAGGTCAGCAAGAGCTGCAGATAAATCTTCTGTCCCAAATAGTCCCAAAGAAAGACCAGGCTTGGGGTGGAGTTCTGTTTGGAAGCTGTAATAGTGGGGATGGGGAAGGAAGTGGGCATCTGGGTGCCTGGGGATGCAGTGGGGGACCCTTGGTGATGAATAAGCAGGAAGCCACCTCAGCTGCAAGTCCTTGAAGACTTACCCATTTCCCTCTGCCCCATCTCTTTGGCCTCCGTCCGGGTTCTCACCCTAGTCTTATCCTGGCCTTTCCCCAATTCTCTCTGAGTGTGTTTGGGATAAAGGGATGTAAAGAGGGGGGATTCCCCTTTGGATTCCTATGGTGGGAGGTGAGGGTGAAGAAAGGGAATAATGGGATTCCGTGTATCATCTTGAAAAAATACTATTGTACGTGGAAGAAAGGTGGAGCAGCACTATTTGAACATCATTAAACAGAAAGCTCGGGCTTGTGTGGTAAGCCGTAATGTGTGATAGGAACAGAACTGGCTCAGGAGCCTGAAACCTAACTTTTAGGCATGGCTTTGCCACCAAGCATTTTGGATAAGTGGTCTAACTTGTGCATTTGCAGGTCAAAGATCCATCTACACTTCTTTCAAACAAAAAGTATGATATCTGTCCCCTGCATAAGACTGTGGGGATTGTAAATGACATAAAACAGGAAAAATAATGCTTGGAAAGATATGAAGTGTTGTACAGTAGAACAGGGTACTGCACTATAGTCAGCATTTGAAACAATCTAAAAAGAAATTTTAGCATGGGTAGGAGAAATGGGAAATGGTGTAATGGAAGGCAGACTCTTGTTTTAAATTCCCCAAGAACTTATCTTTAAAAATGCTAGAGTCTTTTTGATAGTTAACTATATTATATCAATTTAATGGGGCCACAGGATGCCCAGATATCTGGTTCAATATTTTAGGTCCGTCTGGGAGGGTGTCTTAGTTACTTTTTCCACATTTCTGAGAGAAAATATTCAACATCCAAAGTTAAAGGAGGAGAGGTTTATTTAGCTCACAGTTCACAGAGGTTTCAGTCCACAGTTGGCTGGCTCCAAGGTAGGGTGGCATGGCAGAGGAAAAACAGTTCATGCCAGGCAGAAGACACAAAGGATTCAAGCAGCAAGCTGCCACAGCAGCCCTCTTTTTGTCTCTTATATTCTATCCAGGCCACCCACCCTTAGCGGTGATAGCACTCTCACCCTTAATCCCAGCATCACATCCTTGATCTCAGCATCACACAC